TTTACGAAAATGCATTATATTTTTACGATTTTGTCGTCACCAAATCTCTGTTTCTCAAAATGTACGTCTATTGTAGAATTTTCATCAAACTAAGCAAGAAACGTGATCTAGTATTTACTCAACATTACGGATTTCTCGAAATACATTAAAAAATGTGACCTAGATACCTAACTGCCCCAAGCTCTTTAAATATAACACCTTAAACCAGGGTTACCAGGTGCTCAGTCACGTTGATCGTCATGTTGTACTGCGCAAGTCAGCAAACAATCTGGCGTAATAAACGTTAGGAATCATCAGGTATTGCCAGATTCCCGAATACCGGGCACCATAGTAACCGTTATAGTTGTCCTTCAAAGTTGTCAAATCGCCCCTATGGCGCAAATTCGCCACACCAGGCAACTGTGCTATAAACAAACCCTGTTTATCACTACTACGTTATTTGATAGTCATATGGTAGTTGTAGCCCTATCTAGCGGTCCATGATTTCTCTCAATACTGTTGTATCTCTACTGGCAACAAGAATAGGGATTACAAAATCATTTATACAACAATATACAAACACGAAAAATATGATTTGAACCATGAAACATTAATACAATTTTAATAGTTTGAACTTTTTTCATTTTTGGAATACTCTTATGTGGAATCCGCAGCTATTTTTCCCGAAATTTGGGTAGACTTAGATTTCTTAGAAATATGACATATTGGTATCGGCAACTCTGCGAATGGGAGAAACAAATCGCATTTGTTGAGCGCATCCGTCTAAGCGGTAGGCGCCAGCGCCCGTTCTGCCTCTCTCTCTTTTATCACTCTTCTACTTTACCCCGTTGTCCGTCACACTCCGACGCTGCCAGATAATATCCTACAATCGAGTGTCTTTCACGCACGTACATAATTTTATGTGATTTATTCATGTATACCTGGATTATTATCAGTGATCATAATAAAATGACAAAATTTCACTAAACATATTTAAAAAAATACAACTTTATTCGATAGCACTTTTTGGGAGCATTTAATGTGTTCCTATGAAAGTTTGTTTTTTAATAAATGGAAGTAAGTTAGATGGGCGTCAATTTATAGCGAGTCAGACACTCTGTACATATTGGGGCGGCTGAAACTAGGGTTCCTTGCGAAACAGATATCCCAGCATCCTCTCAGCAGCTACGCGGATTCACACTTTTTGCATAAATCATGATCAAGGTTAGCTCTGTTGTTCTTTCTGGACTCTGAAGTCCACCCAACTCGAATTAAACACCTTACTTGGAAAACTCATGTTTTATAATGAGAAATATGTGATTGCAGCACAACTGAAAGCAGGTTATGAGAAGCTTATTTTTGGTTGTCTATGTTTCTTTTATAAAAAAAAGAAGAAACTGATATTTTCTGTTTCATTCAAGTACCTGATATAATTTTCATATTATCTTTTTCTGATATCCATTAACGCATGAATTTCGCGAATGTGGATGCGAATGCGAAATCAAGAAGCATACGAATATTCGTGAACACGAGTATTCGTTTCATCACTAATATAAGCTTACGTAGAAGTCCGCTGACATTGACGGAATAATCAGTAGATATAGTTGTAGTCACCGTTCTTGGGGGGGAGAAGTAAGACTACCAGTATCCCTTCATATACATCCATCTCCCTCATACACACACATGCAACCTATTCCTGTGTTTGTTCGGTCAGCTCAAAATCATACGTTTTTTAGTTGTTTGTCTTGGTCAAGAAAACTTTATTCTTACGTATGAGTGCCCTTCAATCATATTTGTCTGAGTGACAACTTACTTGGCGTGCAACTCGAGCTACCCTGTTATCAATCTTCAATATAAAATTGTACGATGCCTGGAAATACGATCAATGGAGAAGGCCGACAGCCCTCGCTAAATTTATCAGCGTATTTCCAGGAAGATAATGAGAACAGCGGTCCCCTGTTACCCACTTCATACGTACTGGAGAGAGTAGCAGATGCGATGAAAATTAAGATCCCCTTGGTACGGAGATTCGATCTGTTTACTTATTTCATATGGCGATGATGACGTAACCGCCAAGAACGGTGACTACAACTATAATGATGGTACGGACCTTTTCTTAAAATTGTCTGACAAACAATGACGATGACTTGACTGGTACGGACCCCAGTAAATATTGATAGTGTAACATTCGCCCTAGGCGCAAAGTAGATTTTTAGAATCCAATTCTGGATAAAAAGATGCGTAATCTCCCTCCCAGCGACCTAAAGATGACCCCTGCAAGAAGATATAAAAATTTTCCTGCAATATGAATCCGAACTACTGCTAATTTGTGAATAAAAAATATCCTATTGTTGTCTTTCGTTTCGCGAATATTAATGTAGTTCTAGGGCTTCTAACTTAATTAACTTCGGCAGACAAATACTTCTACCCTCTCTGCATTTTCCCTCACAATACCAGGTAATCTCGTCGCCCATCCTTTGTTAAACCGAACGAATAAGAAACCCAGTTTTAAAACTAAGATAATAACATCTAGCACCCGAGCATCCATAATTAATTTGAGAATCTTGAGTGCCCAAAAGCAGTTACTCATTCCTTTATTTTTTGTGTACAAGGTTCCTCAAAGTGGAGCTTTAATGCCGAAGTACCGCCACTATGAGAACATTAACTTTTCAACTAGCTATCCAGGGATATGTTTTCAGCCTTTCTGGCCATTGATATACATATATCTCTAATGTCTTGACACATCTCCTGTTATAAGTTCCTCTGCCTAATGGCAATCTGGACTCCAACTATCCATCTCTTCCGTGGTCTCAATTATTTTCTTCTCCTACTTGGTACCTAATCAAATATGGCTTCAGGTAGTCTATTCTTGTCCATACTCACGCTGTGTCTATATCATTTTTAATTTTAAGGGTAAATGTACGGGGAGATCTATGATGAGTGGGATATGTGTAATAAGTACTTAGAATTACACCTATATCGGTGTTAAATGCGTATAAGTATACCAACGTCAAAAAGCTGAAATGTACCTTCCCTCACCCCCTAAGACCCTACACTTTTAACCCATACAAAAATGTTTCTAACAAATTCTTCTTTTCCATCTTCTGCCCATAGCTCCACCGCCACTGGACTGATTTTCAAAAACTACAAAGCTTTTTCGTCCTGGACATAGTACTAAACCTTGTGTTAAAATTTCATCATAATTCAAGAGGTACTTTCCAAGTTATAGAGGAGTCAAGAATTAGCGAACAGACAGACCCACAGAAGTGCGTGACACAATTTTACGACATGTCATGTAACGTCCAAAAAACATTGTTCGAGAATACAATACTTCCTCGTCGCCAATGGCGGGGAAAGGCAAAAGTGTAATTAGCATAAGATATTTAGATGACTGCTTCTTCTTATACCTATATGGATCATTATTTGGTCCTGCATCAAAGGACAATCAACCTTGGAAGTGCATTCTGCATACTGCAGTGAACAGCAGGAGAAACATCCGAGAAAGTGTTACGGTGGATTCCGGCGAGGCCATTAGTCGCGACCCAAGATCGTGTCTCGTCGAGCATAATCTTGTAGAACATCCGGAACTCTAGCACCTGAGATCTGCCGTTGTTGCGATCTCCGATTACACGCCAATATCACCTCCGATGGGGACGACACAATTTGTACGGAATCACGATGGAAAGTAGTACGATGAGGTGGTTAATCGACCATGCCCGGATGAACATGAAATTACATAATTGGTAAACAAAAAACAACGTCAAGTAGGTTAATCCTTCCAATGCAACGCTGTCATCAGTCCATAAAGGATCGATTATGTTTGGAACAAGTGTGCCCCTCTAGTAAAAAGTCAGCTACTAACATGTATAGCCAAAAATTAAATGGATCAAGTCAGTTATATAGGTACATACAGTTAGCCTATAACCCCACCAAATTGGCAACGTTACGATCTAACAACTTCTCCCCTGTCCTACCGACAGTACCAACTATATGGCAACTTTGCTATGACAACGCGGGTATATCCAAAGACGCGTATGTTGAAAATATTTTTCTATCATCCAGTTTTAAGGGCCACGGTACGGGAAAATTTAAAGCGTGTACGTATCGTCAGCAAATTCAGATATACCCTCCCCCGCCCCTCACAACCCCCAATTTTTAACCGCTACAAATATTTGTCTGAAAACGATGATCGTCTGAAACGTCAAAAAACAAAGTCTGAGCGATTTTTGTATTTTCCCTTTTTTTGCTCCACCGTTATGGGATTAGCGAACAGACCGATAGACAAACAGACCGACGAAAATAGTGACGAGTCATATACGTCTAAAAAACGTGTCATTTTCGAAACTTTTCGTGATTATAATATAGTCGCCAGTGGCACGGGAAGCACTTAGATGAAATGAGGCTATCAGAGCAAGAGTGGCCTAAGCCACAAATATACAAAAGTGAGTTTGATACAGAAATGATTGATTCTTAAGGTATATTTTAGGGTGAAAGTGGTCTATGCCACATTTGACTACATTGCAAGAGATGGCACCACCAAATCTGTTTTTGCATTGCATTAAAAAGTCTCAACTAGAGAGCAACACCGGCCTAAGCCACAAATTGTGGGATAGGCCACTGTTGCTTTATAATTTTACTAGAAAAGAAACGTGGTATAAACCAGTATAATCAAGACACGATTTTTGATTGCTTCTGTTCATTTAAAAGTGTGTAAATACAAAATAAGGAGTTTGATTATCAATAAGAATGGCTTCCACATCGTATACATTCACAGGTAAGTGGTATAATATTCCAAAATTATGAGAAATATTTTTAGGTTAGGTTCCACTAGCTTTTCCATTGTAAATGCCTTCTATTTCTCTGTTCTGTTTGCGAGACATTGCCAATGATCTCAACTTAAAAAAATACCCATTCAATTTTTAATAAGTAGTTTTGTCTATTATACGCATTGAATTAAAGCTGCAAACTAATCAAAATTATAAAAAAAGTTTAGCATAACGTACATGTTTCTTTTTATTTAGAATCGGACGAAGAGCCTGATGAACCTTTTCAAGATTCAGGTTCTGAATATCTTCCAAGCGAGTCTGAGTCTATCTCGGAGCTAAACATGTCCCATGAGTTTGACGCTGAGCCCCAAAACACTGAAAATGATGCAGAGCAGCAGAAGAGCTCTCGTAAGCGCGTAAGAAATGAAAACAAGTGGAAACGCAATGTGACAAAAACTAAAAGGAATCTTGGAGAAGCATACATAAGTAGGAGATCAAAAAAACTTGTTCCCGCAAAAGTTTTTAATAATGTAGACAACTGCTGTACAGATCTTTGTTGGCAAAAGATTCTCCCAGAGCGACAAAAGGCTATTTTCCAAGCATTTTACAAAATTGAATCATTTGATTTGAAGTCGGCTTACCTTTTTTCTTGCGTCGATGTTGTGAATAAATCAAGAGTCTATACCAACAATGGTAATACTTCCAGACGACAAAAGACCCGTTTATTTTATTTACAAGATGACACAGGTAACAAGATAAAAGTATGTAAAAGCTTTTTTAAAGGGGTACTTAAAGTCTCAGATGGCAGAATAACCAGAATTTTGGTCAACAAATCAAAAGTCATGCCTGCTCCGACAGATGGTAGGGGAAAACAGCCTTCTGCTAACAAAACGCCGGATCATAAAGTTGATAAAGTTAAAGAATTCATTGAAAGGTTTCCAAGCTATCAGTCACACTATTCCAGGAAAAAAAATCCACATCGGAGATACCTAGCCCCAGATTTGAATTTGAGTATAATGTATGACCTCTATAAGAAACAACTAAGTTTAAAAGACGAACAACCTGTATCAAAATACATATTTCCTGAAATATTTTCAAAACAATTCAATCTTCACTTTCATGCACCTGTTTCTGATTCTTGTAAAAAATGTGACTTATTGCAAAATAAATTAAAATTTGAAATGGACGTCGAAAAAAGACAAAGTTTAACAACTGAAATGGAATTACATCAAAGAAAAGCTCAGAGTGCCCGAGAGGGAATGAAATCTGATGCTGTTGTGGCGAAAAATAATTCAGAGGTAACTGCAATTGCTTTTGATCTAATGAAAACTCTTCCGACGCCAGTAATCTCCACCGGAATTAGTTATTATAAAAGGCAACTCTGGACTTATTGTTTGGGCATACATAACTTGGCTACCAAAGAGTCATTCATGTACATCTGGAATGAATCCATTGCATCTAGAGGTCCCCAGGAAATTGGTTCGAGCTTGCTGCATTTTATTAAGAATCAAGTTAAAACAAAAAAATTATTGATGTACTCGGACCAATGCGGTGGCCAAAATAGAAACATCAAAATGGCACTACTATGCAATTATATTGTTTCCTCTCATGATCTCATTGTTGAAGAAATTAACCACAAATTTTTAGTCAGTGGACACTCATACCTACCGTGTGACCAGGATTTCGGACTGATTGAAAAACAAAAGAAATATTTCAAAGACATCTATGTGCCAGATAGCTGGGAAACCGTTGTTAAGGCAGCAAGAAAAAAGGTTCCTTTTAAAGTTGTTCAGATGACAGTCACAGATTTTTACTCTACTGTTAATTTAGAGAAGAATATAACGAATCGAAAAATTTCCGAAAATAAATTAAAAGTAGAATGGATGAAAATCCAGTGGCTGCTCTTTAAAAAGTCGGATCCGCTTAAAATCTATTTTAAATACTCAAATCAAGATTTTGCTCCATTTGATTCAGTTGACGTGTCTAAAAGGAACTCTTCTAACAGTTTTAAAGAGCTGAATCTGTTATATCCAAAAGGACGTAAAGTTGATATCAAAAAGAAAAAGGACCTATTGGATCTTGTATGTTTTATTCCCCCCATTCATCACGAGTTCTATCAAAACCTGAAAACTACGCATGATCAAGACGATGAGATTTATTCTGATAGCGATGAAAGTGAATGTGAAAATTAGTTATTACATATTTCTTTTGTTAAGAGACTAATAAAAATTACTATTTTTTGAATTGTTCGTTTTTTTCCTGACTGTTCAGTAATTTTATCAACAATGGCCTATCCCACCGAATCAACTAATTTCTTTGCATACTGACAATTTCTCGTTAATACAAAAGTGGCCTAACCCACATTTTTTGTCAAATTTCGTTTTGCCCATAATATTGAAATAACATTTAAAATAGGACATCTTTTAAAAACTGTTGCAGTGGAAAAAAATCATATTAAAACAAAACTACCTTATTGGCAAAGAAACAAAGAAAGCGAAAATTTAAATTGCGTTTTTCTCATTACCATGATTTTGGGCTTAGGCCACTCTTGCTCTGATAGCCTCAAATATGGAAGGATGGGCACATGACAATTATGAATATTAGGAATAATTGCTGCTTTCTTTGATGACGGTAGGTGTTCACAAGATATTTCTTATATCAAAAGACTGAGTAATGGAATGCCACAACTTCTATGAAGGATACGTGTTTTAAACCGACCTAAATTATAAGAATTTCCTGTTTTTTGCGGATTTTGCCCATTATTTTTTCTACTTTTTGTTATATACCTTTCTCCGCATGATCATTTTCTCTTTGTAGTTCCTATGGGCTTGACGTACCACGGCAAGTGACTATAAGCGGCCACGTTGTGGTTAGATGTCGCATTGAAAACTCGAATGTATTCTGACCAATATACTGCAAAATTGTAGGTTGGCTCTTATTGGACTTCGAGTGTTGTTTTGTTCGAGTTACCTATCCTACTCTCTGCTCGAATCCATTTTCCTTCTTGTTGCGGATTTTGCACATTATTGTTCATTATTGTTCTTCTTGTTATATATTTGTATATATCTTTCATTCACATACACTACAGACTACTCGGCCGTCTGCAACCAATAAGCAACCAACAATGCATGTCGTGAGGATGAGTCATTCCTCAATAGATGGCGCTCACAGCGATCCTAGCGAGCAAACGTGGAATGAACTATTTGCACACTGAAAACTACCTAGTCAGCAAGACGACATTTTGTCGGTTTTTTGCGTCTTTCAGGTTTTTTACATGATACCCCTGCCGTTCGGAAAAATTTGTTTTCAACGACCGCGCTCGACGAATCATCAGAAAAACTGAACTTTCTCGTTTTTAACATAGTAGTAACCTTGCCCAAAAGTATGGAAATCCTAAGCCGTAGACAAGCAGCCAGATAGAGAGATAGACTTACGGAAATGAAAAAGAAAATGGGTTGCGCAAGCTGCTAACTGTATTTCATATATTTTTGATTTTATATACACAACTACTATCCAATAAGAAACATAATGTCTGCCTAGATTCACATATAAAGCTTCGATGTATTAATTGACCCCGTGTTGTACGATTTGTGCATTTGATTGATGACCTATCATGGAATTCCATTTCGAGAATTCTCATGACTATTAAAAAATAAATTAGTAACGGTTATGTGTGTAATTTGTTATTATATATATACATCCGTTTTCAACAGATGAAAAAATACAGACATTCATCTTTTGAACACGCAGTCTTATAAAATGATTACACTCAATTTTTTCTGTGTGCAATGTTAACAGCTAACTAATAGCATAGATCATTAAGAAATTAGTATAATTGATAGAAAGTAAGCGTACGTGCTATTACAAAACTGCTTGCGCCAGTTACCTCCTTAAAGGCGTTTACGTCAAAATGAAGATGAAACCAACTGATTCATCAAATTGCTAGAGGATCTTTGATCTGTTTTTGATCGTTTGATAATGAATGTCGTAGAAAGTAAGCTTATGATGTTCAAAATCCTGTTCTCAATAGCATCTGATCTTTAATATTATTCATATGGTTAGTTTGTACAGGATGTTCTGAAAGTTGGGACTTTCCTTTTCAGATGTGCGATGAAACATCATCGGAAGAACGAAAAGGAATTTTGAAGAAAGTACTCACTGTGAATTTGAGCAGGAATGTCAGTATATGATACTGTTATTTTTTTAGTCTGGTACCGAAACGGTAGAGAAAACGCATCGTAAGCCACTGTTAAGGCAGCGTGTCTTTGAGTACGACAGACTCTCTCTCATCTTCCGTTTTGGTTCCCAAGTATAGTTGTTGTCGTCCTCCAATTCCTAAAACACGTTCGACGTTTGCAATATTCGGGATTATTTGTGTTCCACTGAGATCACCTCGAATTTCCCACAAAGGTCCACCTTTTTGGTAACTGGGTACCCTTCTCTTTGACACTGGCTAGGAATGATTTTACGTTCTAATATGTACTCATGTACTATTATCACGTTGAAGATGAGGATCAAAGTCAAATCCAAGGTCAATACTGAAATCCATGGTAAATAATACGAAATACCTTACGACGAGTTATTACATCGAATACTTTCCCTATGTATAAAAAAGCCATAAGAGGTGTGAAATTCGCAAAATTCCAGCGAAAATTTCCAGTTACCTAGAAAACGAAAAATTTAAAGTGAAAACTGCCCAGTCGGTATCGAAAATTTCCCTATAGGTTCGTATATATAGTTACGATTGATGAGATGTGTATTTGTCATCCTGGCATACATGAATATGGAAAACTCGGGAAATATTATACCGAATTACACTCGTGCATCAAAATAAACCTGATAATTTTCCATTCAAACGTGTTGTCAGTAGAAAACCTTGATCCTGGATTTCAATAACACTTAGACGCAGAATGAGCTTTCTTTCCATTGTAAAGACAAAAGCTGAACTTGCAATAACGTTGAAAGTGATGGTCAAAGTCAAATCAAGAGAATATCTTACCTTCAACTGTTTCAAAAATATCTTAGCTGTAAAACTGGAGAGAGCTGTTCCTTGAGTGTTACATATGTTACATCTGCAATGTGTTGTAATTAATTTATTCACTTTTACAAGAATAACATGCCGCGTGAAGAGAACTTGCAACTTTAAGGACACCGTGTTGATATATGAGTATTTCATAGATTTCAAAGTGCCGCGCAGAAAGACGGCTTCTCTATAATATCCCCGTTACGACTCTTTCCAGTAAAAGCGGTTACATGACAAAAAGACGCTTCAAGTAGGTTGCCTCTCCTATGCAATTCTGTCATCAGTCTATAAGGGACACAAGTTAGCCCATATGAGAAAAGAATTAGCTACTAACATGTATAACAAAAAATATAAATGGATTATGTCAGTCAATCAGGCATAGAAAATTAGTCCATATACCCGCTCATTTATCATCTTGCGGTTTATAAATGTCTATAAGTAACGACCATCACTCCCTAGCCACTTATGTCACTCAATCAAGACACGATTCAAACATTGATCAGGTCTGGTAACAGATGTATCAATCTTAGGCCCGTATCGTCAGTCGTCCCTACAATTGTAGGGTGCGTTTATGGCCTCCTTGATTTCGATAATATTACGTCTTCTTCGGTAAGGTACATGTATGTCCTGCTTTACATTTTTAGTCTGCTGTCAATCAGAAATCAATTGTGATGTTAGTTTATGTTTCTTTTTTGACGAAATTTTTGACAGATGAATAAAATGCCGAAGGATATTTTCTTCCAAATAATGTTGATCATTCAATAATAATTTCCTACATTGAACAAATTCGTCAGGCTGTGGTATCTTCAAGTCCCATATCTGTTATTAATGATCTAAAATCAACAATTTAATGCAAATGGATGTGTATTTATATATATTTGCCTAACAGCTTACAACAAAGCTGTTCCTTGATGAAGCTGGTAAGTTACAAAATTTTTAAACATTGCATATTCATATTTATATACTTATCGCATTTTTTCAGATGTGGTTCTCACAGACATTATGAGATGTTGGATAAGAAACATTGTATCCGAAGTGCAACTGCATTGTTGATGTCGGAGATGGCTGTTAACAAATCATTGTTAGACTTTGGATTGCATGGTGTCAGCCTACAAGTATGTATAATGTGTAAATGCCCTGAAATTGAGTTTAAACATGCCCTGCCCTATCTGGTATTTTTTTATATAAGTGGGAACCTTAACCTAAAAATTTCAGAATATAACTAACTATATAATATCATTATAAAATTGTTGCCCACACCAAGGTGTAAAATTTTTAATGTTTCTTGAATCTATGCATCTTTTTTGCAGATATAAACCATCGTGATATTGCATACAAAACTCGATATGTATTCTGGAAGGATAAAGAGACGAATGATCTTTCTAAGAATGGATTCACGCATCCAGGCACTTGAAAGCATGTTTGAAGGAGCCAACCTTACTGGAATAAGTGAATTTGCTTTTTGTGACTGACATGTGTTATGCTGAAATGTGTAATTTAAAGGTAGGTATAAGCCTGTATATTCATAAAAGTTAAAAGCTATAGATTTAAAGAGGAGTTTTGTTATGCCTGGGAACGGGGTTTCCAAATGTCTAATGGTTAATGTTGCATGTGAGAGATAAAATGTCACACGAAACTCGATAAAGTGGCTTTTTGAATATTGTAATCAGCATTTCTATTTGACAAAATCTCACAAAGCTGATGACATAGGTTAAATAAGAATTCAGTTATCTAGCAAAAATGCTATATGAAATACATATTTTAATACTTATAGTTATATCTGTACTTACGAGTAAAACATAAGGAATCTTATAATAATACTTATAATACTATTTAGGGTACAAGATATTATTCCAAGACAATAACTCCAGTGTAAGGAACGTTATTAGAGAGGAAAAAAATGTATTTAAATTGGATATTTCAAGAAGCTTGATACCTAGAGTTAATTAACTTTCCAAAATGTTCCAATGTACCCCCAAGCTAGAAAGATTTCTTTGCAATTGATTAGATATTCTTTTAGTCCTGTTTACATAGCTTATAATTTAGAAAATAGCATATAATCTAGTCAACGTCAAGGATTGAAAATTGATGAAATCTATATTTCTAGATATTTTTGAACGAACCTATTGCATTTCTGTGGGTATACAATGTAGAATAAAAAATATTTAT